ATGGATGGATGGATGGATGGATGGATAGATGGTTGCATGGATGGTAGATGGATGCATGCATGCATGCATGGATGCATGGACAAACTAATGAACAAATCTATACTGTTGACAATAAAATAAAAACAAACACAGTAGGCCCAAGCAAATCCAGGTATAGTCCAAGACACACCAGACTGTTTACTTAAGATTTTAAATTCTCATAAACTCTTATTGTCTTTTCGAATAACACACATTCTTGGCAAATTTAAGTAATTAAACAAAAACAAAATTCATCTTAAAATATTAGTTTTTAAAGCAAAGGATTACCATTAATCATGATAATCATATACCTTCTTTGTTTTCAGTTTTGTCTTGTTTTGACTTTCTTTGAGTTCGTTTCTTTGGAGATTTTTGATCATAGCTTCCACACTCTGAAAAATAATTATAAAAGTTTAGCATGTTTCATAGTTGCCAAAGAAAGGGTGAATATAATAATATGTAAAACTTACTGTCACAGGGTTCGGCATTGTGTTTCTTGGCTGATTTCTGACACTTTTCACAATTACCATTCTTATTTTCTGTAACAAATTGAAACAAATTAGTTTGATGAAGTTCAACAAATGTATGTAAAATTTTCCATACTTAAAAGTGGGGAGAAGGGACAGGAAAAGGAGAAAAATGGGGTTTTTATTTTATTTTGTTGGGTGGAGACAAAAGGTATGAATCCCTTGGTAGGTGGGGTAAGTGTTGCATATGGCCTTTAAGGGGGCTAATCACTAAAGGGATGGGATGAAGAGGATGGTAGGACAAGGTAGGGAGAGTAATAATTGTTCTACTTCTCTGATGTGTTCCAGCTCACCTTGAATGTCATAAAGTTCAGCTTCAATTCCTGAATCACAGCTTAGTTCCAGGTCACTGTCTGACATAACCATGTCTATTGAAATAAGTGAAAATGAGCTATAGTGGCTCCAAACCCAAACACAGATGTTATATGATATCTCCATCTAGTCACCCCCTGCCAAGGGCGGATCCTTCAGCAGAAAAAAATGATGCATTTTTATATTGTTTTCCGTTGTGTTGACGGAAGAAACTCAATTAGCCCCCCCTAAAATCTTGGCTGGATCCTCCCTTGCCTGCACAGAAATAATTCAAAAGGTACTGGAGTTTCCATGAAGAAGATAAATTAGAATAGGGAAGCTAATTTGTTATGTTGCAATGACATCATCAGGCATTTCTGGAATTTTATAATTGAGGGACCATCAAATGATGGTTTATATATAAGTCAAGGTAACTCGCATGTGTTATATTTTTTCAAGTTCCACCTTGGAAAGGTTTATTAGATGTATCAGTTTTTTATAATTCCACACTTTATTATTTACCTGGTAAAATAGTTAGGTCATCTTCAGATACATCTGAAAGATCGGAGCAGTAGTCTTGTAATGAGTCATCTGACAGATCACATGTGAAAGCCTCTGTTCAATCAATCAGTCAACAATGTGAGCATCTACGCTATAAGTTAAGGCCTTCACTAAGTAATATATTTCTCATTTTTATGACTAATCCCTCCTTATGAATGCCATTAGATGTCGCCCAACCTCTGCCCCACTGGCCAGCAAACCCCCTCCTGTCTAGCAACCTCACCCCCCCTCCCCCCTGCCCATCTGGGGGATCTTGTGTTCATACCTCTCGGCTGTGATATAATAATTGAAATTTCATTTTAACTATCCTTCCCACATTTGTCTTGACTGTTCTATTTTGTGCCTTAAAGAATATGAAGGCAATTTACATGGTGTCAGAATTTCACACCTTTTTCTTCTTCTTTTTCTTGCTGTTTTTCCAGGGATGTAGTTTCTACGTCGACCACAACGTCAAACTGCGTATCTTCAAATGGGCCAAATTCTGTGTCCATATTGGCTTCTAAAAATAAAAACCAGGGAAAGAAAATCTTTATATGTTTTGTGAAAATTATAGAAGATTAAGGCCCCATCCACACTATGCCGGATAAATTTGAATCCGAATTTTCATTTATTCGGTTCCATTTTGAAAATTCGTTTTCAGTGAAGAACTGTTTCAGACTGGCCCGGACTAGTGTGAATGGTAGGCCTAACCGAATAAATAAAAATTCGGATTCAAATTTATCTGGCATAGTGTGGATGGGGCCAAAGTGTTTACATATAGAGATGCTGTACATGTTTAAATATATTGATATGGGTATCGATGACTTCCTGAAAAGAAATAACTGTATTGAACTGGGTGTTACTTTTATGAAAAAGCTGTTATTAAAATTGTTTCCTGGTTGGCCTGGGGTACATGTTTTATGAGAGCACACAGCCACACCTTCTCTAATGACTAATGTTAATGAACAAAAAGAAAATTTATCCAATAAAATCCTTTGTGTGCTGAATAGCATTATGGTAAAGTGATCTGCCAAGAAGTTAATTGCATACTATGATGGCAGAAAACCTCTAGGACGAGGCAAGAGAGGCTGATTTGTGTTCACGTAAGGTAGCAAAAGGCAATTCAATTATTTAGAAAAGATACCCTTAAATGCCATTAAATCCTAATATTCACCTCAACAAACTTTAGGTAAATTGTTCATTTATCTCAATGTTTACTAAAACTGACATTTTGAGGAATTTTCAAGTTGGAAAATCCGGAATCGTAACCTGGAATGGCCCTTGGACTGGATTTCGGTAAGGTGGATCTCCGGATCGAAACACTTGAAAAACTACTTTTCTTCAGTCAAATTTTATGGGTATATGTTAAAAAGCTAATAAAACATATTTTAGCAAGGAAATTAAATTGATTAATTGCTTTTTTCCACAATCCAGTAAGTTTACCAGTTTTCAGTCCAACTTTATATTCCTTAGTTCACATTCCAGTTCACATTCCAGTCCCATGCTTTTCTGTTTTTTATTCATTTATCAAATACTTTTAGGCCTGAATCTGGTCTCCCCCTAATAGCATGGCTGTCCAACAGCTCTGAGTTGTCCAGCCTCATACCACTATACATTATTGTGTTATGGAGTATCATACAGCTCAGTACTAACCTAAACCCATAAATATCTTTATTGATACCCTGAAACAGCCTCGATCTGGACTGATCAAAGAAACCCAGCCTGAGACCCTAGAGGTGAGAGGCAAGTACGCTACCTCTACATCACCCTCGGTCCCCAGACCTATGCTACTAGTACTGCTGATCTGATGGTGTGTTACCTTCAACAGGATATCCACTAGAGTAGAGTAAGTTTTGTATGGCTTCCAGTGTAATGGTTGTTGCTATTATTGGTGCTGCTGTTGTTATCTTTGCTTCAGTCATTGGTGTTGAAAGCCATTCTTCTAAAAGCATATTGTTCTCATTCTGTGATTCCTATTAAATGGTGCGGCAATGAAAATATAAACAATATTATATTATAATATTTATCCCCTATGACCTCCCCTTTGTGTAGGTGAAAAAGGGGGAACGAGTTATGAGAAATTTGTTTATTATAGGAAGAAATGGGGATAAGTAAAATTTATTTGTTGTAGATTTAAAAGAATTCTAAATTCTAACTTTAATTAAACCAGTAGAGTGCTCACACTGAATCCGTGAAACAAATACTAATTTTTAGCACTAAATAGTGATAATTAAACAATAGAAAACAAAGAATTCTGTATGAAATAGTACTAATTAGTACTAATTAATGTTCACGGTTTTAGTGCGTGCAATCTAGTATTATTTACAATTCTATTTTGTTATTTTACAAGTTATTGTGTTTAGGGGTAAAGTGGGGTGTTAGATTGCTTTATCAGTGCTATTAGATAGCTTTATAGGTGGTGATGGAGGATGTTTAGAGACCTTAGATTTCTTTCTTATTCCTTCTAGCATTTATTTTCTAAAGTATTAATTTATTGTTTAGTCTAATGCGATTTTTCATTGTTTTAATCGCTTAATTTATTCAAAAAATATTACTGTTTGTATTATTTCAGCCTATAGCCTCAAGACTTATAAAATTTTTTCCGTATTCATTCGTTTCTAGATCTCAACGCAATTTACTTTACAAAACTCATTTTTTTATCAAAAATATTTTTTGAAAATATATTAAATCTAAAATTCCACGGATATTACATTTAATGATCTTGCAAACCATATTTTTTTAAATTGTGTAAAAAAATTAATATTAAGAAAACCTTGCGAATAACAAAATTATTTTAATATTCTTGTCTGGGAGTTAATAGTCGGGGTTATTAGGCCAAACAAGTCTCCTCACAACTCTCAAAACATTCCGTATTTCTTAGAAGAATCTAAACAAGCTCTGCTCTCATTCCATTCCTGCCTTGACGTGTAACAATTTATATGAAAAAAATATATATCAGACGTTAAACGATTCCAAATATTTTATTGTCTTTATTTATTTTTTAACTCAACCGAAATAAATATGACTTTATTTTGTTTTTGCTTAGTAAAGCGTAGAATTAAGTAGTTATACTAATCTTTACTCGATTCAAAACAGTTGTGATATTGAAACTAAATGTACATATATCATTGAAATTCTGAACTTATGTTATTGAGAAAAAAAATGATGAAAGCCCGAATTTTATATTCATAGTTTGATATAACCTTAAATTTGAATATGAATTAACTTTTTCCTCGCCTACACAGTTTGTTCACTCGTCTGAATATCAACAAATACTCGGCTTTAACTCATGCATAGTACTAAAAAAAATAAATAGATAGCAATTTATTTTTTTATAGATTTTAAAAATCAAGTAAATATGAAGTAAAAGGATTGATAATTTTGCTTAGTTACCTGAAGTTTAGATGGATCGAACAAGTTCATCAAAGATTGAGTCTCTGTAGTCATGATTGCATGTGAAGACCTGACGAGTCAAAACAACCAGCGTATTTCAAATCAATGTTATCCTAGATTAAAGCTGCACTTTCGAACAAAACTATTTCACTTTGAATAGCTAGCATCGATGGTTTTTTGGTGAAAAAATGCTAACTTAGCGAAACGTGATTGAAAGTGAAAGTTAATGTAAGCAGCATAAGAAAGTTTTGGATACTATGAGTAAAAAAATCTGAATATGTATGTATGTTTTTACGTACATAGAACAGCGTGAAATCAAAACTTGTTTACTTCCTTCAATACGAGTTTACAAAAATTACTTGACGTAAAATAATGAGTGTTTTTGCGAGTCCTACCTGGCAAATATCGGTGATATCCCTCGCTAAAGTCGAGCTGAAGTATCTCAGTATAACCGATGTTTGGATATGTCTGGGCAGAACTATTCCTAGAAACGAGCTACTCAGTAATTTCAGAGGTCATATGAATATCATTGTTGTTCTTCTGTGGAAACCCCCCATTTCCAAGAAACAACACATTCTTTGGCTTCTGATTGGTTGTTTATTATTGGCCCTTCCTTATATGGACAAGGTGGGTGTTGGGTAATTTTCACATGACTCCACTCATATTGACGATAGGTTTTGACGGACCAATCAGAAGGCTGGAATATCAAATTACCGGGAATCCCCAAAATCTTAAGTGACGTCATAGGTCATATTCTATTTAGAGCACAAACATAACTAGATTATTCAAAGATTCGCTTTGTAAACGTTTCTTTTAAGATGTTTTCGAAAAGCTAAGACGGCTATTAATCTCGAATCACAAAATCATCATTCTGTTTTTTTTTGTGGCAAAGATTAACGTACTCTGATGAATAAAAATTCGCTGTAAAAATATGGTCGCGAAGCGTGATCCAGTTGTCCCATGCAGCGTTACAGTCAATAATATATTCATTACAAGCAGAGCTTTTCGAATTGTTAAAAAAATAAGACAAACAAATCTAAGTAAAACAAGTTAAATTCTTGACATTTTTAAAGATTTAAATTCATTTTCGATTTAAAAGAAAAAGAGGCGTTTAGTAGCGAGCTGAAACATGGTTAAGTGAAATGATTTCGTGTTGTAGGCGGCCACGTTAAGGGGGTTTCCCTAATTAAATTTATATTTATTGATAAGTAATGGG